CTTTTTTGTTGCATACAAAGCATTTTACGCCATCACGAATATCATCTACATTGCGCTTATTCCTACGTTAATACAGGGGAACAGAAAAAGATGAGGAATTTTGAGACGCTGTCGGAGGTAAGCGTCGGGACCGCCAAGTACGCTTTTTCTGGTTGTCAACTTTAATTCATTTTTTCTATATGGGATTCTCAACATCTCCCAATTAATTTATAATTGTTTTAGATTTCAACGGTCTAACGCTAATTTCTTGCTTTAATCCTCCGTCCACTACGGTGCTCCTTCCGTATCAGCCAGTGGTGTAATTTATCGTGCAGGCATATTGTAGCCGCGATGTTAGGGATTTGGAAGGCGTGAATTCACCTCCCTTGTGACTTCTTTAGTCATAGTTTCATCATATCTTGACCATTTTCTGGTCTTTTCAAAATTGCATATTTGATCAAAATGTTTTACCTGCGTAGACGGGATCAGAAAAATGGCACTAAGTGAGTTGAAGTTTAATATTTTACAAACTCTTTGAGTTGTTTTTTTAGTTTAAGGAGGTAATCAGAGTTTGGAGAAAGTAACCTTGGGAGAAAAACTAACATCAGTGAAGAGAGACAATTTCAGATTATGTCAGATGCATTATAGTTAAAAAAGGTGACAGAAAACAGAAGGCGATTAGAACAAGGATATGAGACAAAGTACTGTCGTTAGGATTTCATAGCTCGGGATTTTGTTTTATTCCTGTCACACTCTATACGTTAGCTGCCCTTCCTCAATTTTGTTGAAAATTTTCTCTTTGAGGTTACTTTTTTCATGCTTCAACAGCCTGTTTAAATTAAGGAACAGCTAGAGAGGTTAATAAAATGGTAAAAATAGGCTTTTGTAGAAATGGAACTTGCTTAATGCTATTTTTAGAGTCTTATGTGCGCGAGCAAAACTCGGTGATTAAATAAAAATTTCTGAGCAGACCAAAAAATGGTCAAGAAATATGAGAGCTGTGAGTAGAGGAATTACATAGGGGGGGAGGGGGGAAGGGGGATGGAAGTCGGTTTGAGTTTTGCAGATTACTTGAATTGCGGTTGTGACGTATCTCCACCATTCATTACATCATTGCTTGATACGGAAGGGATGTTGTGAAACGATGAAAAGATCAAAGCGGCATTTTAGCAGTAGGCCGTTAGAAAGTTTGCGAAAACTACATAGACAAATATTAAACTGTCACAGATGAATCAGAACTTTTTGTACAGAAATAAGTTGGGTTGTCGGTGGGAGAATGCGTGTTTGGAGCTGGGCATGTATAATTGCATTAGCGCCAAATTTCGATTTTTAAAAAGGGAAATGAATTTTTCTTTCATTATCATTTTTATTATTGATGTTTTTTCAAAATGTTCAGTAGGAAGAGAACCAAACAGTTTTTACCCCGTTCCACCTTCCCCATCTATTTCCTACAACAATTTAAATAGCGATTCTTTTCTGTTTTGTGTGTGTTTGTCTGTGTCTGTGTGTCTGTGCCTTTTTACTACTTGCTTTTCTCTTTGTATTTCATATGAAAAGGTTGCGTAATGTTTGGTAAGAACTGTCAAACAGCGACTGAAAATAAACCGATGGAGGTGGAAAAGAGGGCTTTTTGTTGAGTGTGGATGATGCGAAGGTAATACTGGCGGTAAGTGGTGAAGACTAACTATATAAATGTGTGTTTGTTTGAAATTTACGTTTAGGCAGCAATTGATAACTGGCGTTAATTTGTCAGAGGTGTTTGTGCGGTTAATAAGTTTATTTTGTTTTATTTCGTTTTTTTCTGTTCCTTTTTGTGTGCCTTATTTGTAAGGAAAGTCGTTACTAAAATCCCGATGAATATATTATTTATTTTTGCTGCTAAATGTTTTAAATTGTATATTCAAGTATAGTTTTCTTCATTGCTTATTTTGTTGTATGCTGAAAAGATTATGTATTTTTAAATGTTTCAGGAATAATGGCATTTTGTAAATTTCTTCCGGTCTCTATAATGTTTACCTTGCTGTTGCTGTAGGTCCTTTTTTAACAGTTTTGGTTTATTCACCAGTATGATAAATTAGGCTTCTAATGGTAATTTTTCTGTAAATGTCGTATTGCATTTTCCTGTATACGTCTTTTGAAAAAAATATTTTTAGTTAATTTTTTTAGTTTTTAAAAATTTTTTTAGCATAAATAGTAGAGAATTGATGGCGGTGATTGGACTGTTCTTGTCTACAATTTGGAGTTAAACTGTGACATCCCACTTTCAAAATTTTTTTGACTTCATTTAATGTAAAATAATTTAACAGGTGTATTACAGAAAAACATTTTTTTTACTTCTGCAGATAATTGAAAGATGGAAAAGTGTGGAAAAAATGTTGCATTACATGGATGAGTTAATTGCTGATAAAACTGTTATATGGAAAAACCTTTCGTTGCGGATCAGGTAGAATTGTTGTTGTTGTAAGAGTAATAAAGGGATGAAATTTTTGTTGGTGGAGTGGAAGAGTTATGGCTAATGCTGAGAGGGTGCAAGTGGACAGTGTTTGCAACGGGCTTTGTGGAAAGTATGCGCAGCCATCTGGCAGAAAAGTTGTTGTGGCAGTGGCTGCCAGGTCGTTAAGTTTATTTTGGGTTCTAGACTTTACGGTTCACATGCTTTGGTCATGCAGTTACACCGCGTGATTTTGCGAGCACTGAAGTTTCAGTTTTTTTTTTTTTCATTTTTGCAGTTCTACCGACAAATTGCCGAATTTGAAATAACAGCCATTTCTATTTACTAGTTATATTTGGGTTGATTTATGAAAGGACCTTTCAGTATTTTTGCAGATATTGAATTGCATCTTAGGTTTTTTTATCTCGTTACATGTATTTTAGGGCGGAAAGAAAAGGGGAAGAGGTGGATATTTTTTTGGAAATTATTGAAGAAGATTTTTATGGAATTCCAACAGAGCTGTTTGTGATGGGCCGCCAACAAAAACAAAAATTTCAGAAAGTTCAAGTTGTAGAGGAGGGAACCAACAGTTTCAAGTAATTGTGTTCAGCCCTTTATGAGGGCTGTGGAATTGAAGTAGTTTTATAATCTATAGTGGTCGCTCTACTGATCTATTTGGATTATTTTTTCTTTAGCTGCTTCTGTTGTGTCGTTATTTTTGCATCTCTTTTTTAACGTCTTTTTTAATGTTTTAATCTTAGGGAGCCTGCTGGTCTTCTTTTTTTATTTCTTGTTTGCTAAATTATTCTAGAAGTTCGTCGGATGCATCACTTGCAAGTGTTATTTTTCTTTTTTATTATAATTATTTATTATTGTTATTTAGTGAACTACGTAAAGTTTTAATACAGAATAAATATTAAGTGAGCTTTCAAATAAGGAAGGGTGTTTTATTGGTTGGTTAACTCTGGCCTAGTTTATACTTGATTTTTAATTTGTATGGATGTATCTGATTACATTTAGCAATACTAGTCGCTTAACTGAAGGTTTGTGGATTTACAAACGTTACGGAAAAAATTGTTTTATAATTATGCATTTTTAAATTATTTAGTAGCTGTCTGGCTTTCATGCTGAAAAACAGCTTTAGGATTGGCATGGCACTTTTTACACCCGGAGATGTTGTATGGGCAAAAATGCGAGGACATCCACCGTGGCCTGCTGAGGTGACTGTCTTGTGTAAAGATGTATTATCATTGAATCATTGTTTGGGGCTTCCTTATTTGGTTGAGATTCACTAGTTTTTTTTTTTTCTTATTCTGTTCTTGTACTTCCAAAGAGTTTATTTTCAACTTTTAGATCTTACATACTTCTGCACAGTTGACAGGTGTCCCTTCCGGCAGATACTCAATTAAATTTTACGGTACTTATGAAACTGCTATCATGAAAAGTGCCGATCTTTTTGATTTTGTGAAGCATAGGGCACAATTTGAAGTTCGCAGAGAAAATAAGGTAATTTTTTAAACTTCTCAGACGCACCGCGCCTACTTATTCAAATAACATTGTTTTTTTCTTTTCATTTTAACATCTTCCATCTAACAAGTCTTCAGGTAAAGGCATTTGTTCAGGGTTTCATGCTGGCAGTTCAAGAGGCTCGGCAAGCCGTTGGTCTAACAAACGAACTAAAACGAGAAGAAGCTTCTTTAGTACGTGCGAACGCGATACCGAGTACGAGTGAAGTGGATTCAGGAAGACGATCAATGAGTAAGTTAAAAGCTATTCATATTAACTTTATTCTGTTAATGAGCGCTTTTTTACCTCTAAGTTTGTTTGCTGCCTAGTGTTTTGCAGTTTGCTTTTTCGTTTTTATTTATCTATTTTTAAAATTTTGTATTTTAGGTCGTTCTAGACGTCCGAGTTCTAGATTTAATTCTGATGATTATGTATTGCAACCGCTTAGGGGCCGGGGCAATAGTCAGTCAAACAACACCCCTGAATCTCCGACAAAAAATAAGTCTAAGGGAAACAAAAGTAAGTTTTTCAATAGCAGTTTTGACTCACACTTGTTTACTCCAGTCAAAATTTCATTTTAGAATTTCGGTTTCAGGAGCGTCAGAGTAGGTGCTTTTTATTAAGCTGATTTTTGACTAGGATAGGGATATTATTTTAAATTTACTTCGATTTTCAGACGAGAAGAAGAGTCCGGTGGTATCAGAAAGACGCCGGAAGAACAGTGGCAGTCCTATAGGTGGCCATCGAAAACGTACAATTTCGGCATATTTTGACTTGGATGTTTCTGACGTACGGCTTAGTTTTGTTTTTAATTCCTTGCTTCAGTACGAGATCTTGTGGGACGAAAGTCTTTGTTCATCCTTGTTGTATTACTTTCTTAATTTTGTTCTAGTAAAATAGGCATTTTTTGAACAAAGTTATTTCTCATTTTCCTTGTTTAGAATGACCCAATGCTACCGCCTATGCTAGGTGACGATTTCAGTAATTCTTTACTTGATGGGTTCCATTCGGATGCAAATACAGATGGTTCAGGTGTAAATGGAGTCAAGCAAAGACGTACTTCCAAACCGAAATTTGTTGAAGATTTCATTACACCGTCTAGGAGCAGAACTCCTAGTCGTGAACGTAATAATAGCACTTCCTCCTCAGCTCGCACGAGGTGACAGCTGTTCCTACGTTGTTTAAAAAAGACCAAAAATTTCTAACTTTTTCAAACATATTGAAATGAGGTATATTATGAGAATTTTGTTTCTTCTATCAGTGAACTTCTTTTACATATTTTCTTTAGTCTGAGGTTCCAGGTTGATATCAGGTGTGTCTGATATCTTAGAAGAATTAGACGACCAGCAGTTTAGCGCTGCAGACTTTATGTCAGTCCTAAATGACTTTGATGACGACCGACCAATTTCGCCAGAGGAACCTTTACCGATGCCAGCGCCTAACAAATATTGTTCAGAGTGTTCTTGTGTCTGTGAATTACATGGTTTAAAGTGGAGGTAATTTGGAGTCCGACAGCTTGTTATGACTTGTTAGAATGCATTTACGGTTTCCAACTTTATTTGCAAAAGTAATCTTGGACGTAACGGAAGAAGTTTGGTAGCAAAAACGAATAATTATATCATTAGTAGAGGTCCAAGTAAGCGACCAGTAAGTGCTGCAGTTGGTCAAGGTGCTGCTTTAATTGCAGTTGTTTTCCCATATAAATAGAGCGCCAGAGTCGTTTTTACGCGTTAAAATTGTTTCTTTCTATGTATTTGTGAAATGGCATTATTTGGCAAACTTTTTAAATTTTTACTATCGGTTTGTTGCTTTACATATGACGTGCAGTTTAGATTAGTATTATTTTAGTTTTCTTAAGTGCACAGTAATTTGTATTAGCGTATGTGTACTTGTTGTTGAGTAAATTTAGATGCACGAATAAGTCTTGCTTGAAATGGAATGGCGTCCACGATCCATACGGACAAGATGGAGAGTCGTCTTACTCGAAACGTGATGAGGACTATCATTTGGATCAATTATACAGTCTTCCAGAGGCTTCCTCAATTAGTTTACCTGAGCCCGAAAATATTCTTTCTGGAAATGAGAACTTCAAAATGGTGCGGTTACTTAAGAATGATACAGGTTCCTGTATTTTGCTTAGTTTTTTGCTGCTGCAGGAATTCTCAAAGATGGATTCATTTGAGACCAGGATGGTTACTCACCTCATAACACCTTACGAGAAGGAAACTAATCACGTTGTACTTCGCGATGAACAGCGGCCGTCAGGGTTTCAAAATCTGAGTAATGGGATATCTGTTGTTCATTTTAGCTCGTCTTCAGGACCGGAATCAAAAGGTAATGCAGTTGGAGGTGTGTTACCTTCAGCAGTGCAGACAGCGAAAGGAAAATTAGGAGCAACCGTACCTCGTAGACAATTAGGAGCGGGGCGGCCAAAATCTTAGTTAGTTTTACCTGTGTACTCATTTTCTTTATTGTAGTAATGTATGGTAATTTTTGAGCTTATTCCTTTATTTATCATCTTCATTCTCAGAATATAATTTAGCAAGGTTGAAAAGACGCCACCAGTTACAGAAAATGGTCAACGTCTTTGCGCATTTTGTGGTGGACAAGTTAGGCCCCAAATGTGTGGCGGAAATAAACATAGGTACTTGTTGCTGTTTTATAACAGTCGTTCGTGCACTTTTTTTTTGGTTCAGTTCTTATTTACTGTTCAGCTTTTTTTTTTTAAATAACAGCATTCTAGTACATTTGTAAGTTTTTCTGTTATCAACTGCTACGTTCTTCGTTTGTTAGGTGGCGGTGTGTAGATAAGAAATGCAGGAAGTGGTATGGCTGGGTACGCAGTAATGAAGAAATCCCAAAGGTTATTTTAATTTTAAGTGTTTCCCTCTTGTTTTCCAAGCAATTCAGTCTCAATTAGTGCATGGCTAATGTGTTGCGATACAGGATCTGGGAAAAAAGGGGCGCTGGAAGGACCTGGCTTTGAAAATTAGACGGAAAGGCGTTAGTGAGGAGGAAAATGACAGCAAAGCTACTGTTTGCTGTAATGAGACCAACGGGCTTAACCTCTATCTGTCAAATGCCGTTCCTGTATGCATACCATTTCTTATATAGTTGAAAATACTTGTTGACTATCGCCTACTTTTTCCACGTATATATTATAGCATCTAAAACACTCACCGTTTTCTAGATGTGTGAGAAGCAGTCGAGGAAAGTAGGGAGGCCACCTAAACCCAGGGTTGGAAAGGTAAAACTCAAAATAAAAAAGAAGCCAAATGGGACTTTGGTTAGTTTGCTGTCACAAAAAAAAAGAATCCCATGTGCTGTGTATTAATTTGAGGGTGGTTACACTTTGGTATGTGATGCTATTTTTGCTGAGAGCACAATCCCTTTTATACTTATGCTGATTTTCCAGTGACTTTCAGTCCGAAGGCGAACAAGGTGTTTTGTGTGAGGGAGAACGCCCAAAACGAAAATATACAAAACGCGAAAGGTCAATGGACGATGGGCATCCTCTAAGTACTCCAATGTTTGTTAAAATCATGAACAAGAAAAGTTTTGTAATAGCTTTTAAATTAACTGTAGAAGCAGTGGAGAATTACATAAATCTCCTTCGCGTGTTAAGATTTGTTTATTTGGTAGTTTTGTAAATCGTTCTTGGTACTGGAAAGCGTGTTGCACATTTTAATTAGCTGCAGCGTAATTTTCCCATAATAATTTCACTAGACGTCTTTTACACAATATTGCGAAGCTTTAATTTAGGATTTTCACCTATACCGCAGAGCGCATTAAACTTTCATCCAAGTGCTATGGAAAGGCGCGGTCGTTGGTGGATTAGTGAAAAGAGGCGTCATGATGTTTCTCCAGAAAAGGAATGGAATGCCAAATCCCCGCTTGATACTGCCGCAGCTATGCATGTATTAGCCCAGTCAATGCGGGTTGCTGCTAACACTTTGTAAGTTCGGGTGATCCGTGATTTCTGAAGTACAATCTTATTCTCATTATCGGCTGTGATTTTTTAGAAGAAATCGTCGTTAAGTCATGGTCATCCCAGTATTTAGTATTGTTTTCTGTTTACTAAGGAAAACCTTAAGCATTGTAGAGCTGATGAACGGGGGACTGTCAGTGGGTCGTTGGATTTGCTGATGGATGCATTAATGAGCTCACTGGCGCCACTTCTTTCGTTAACTGCGCAACTTCCCACCATAAATTTGAATGATGAAGTTTTGCAAAAAATGTGGAATGCCTCTTCTGTCCATACGCCAATTTTTTCTTAAATCGACAATTTTAATTTGCTTTACTTATCAGTAATAGCTCGTCGTTTTTTTTGTTTGTTTTTACTGTTATTATTATTATTGTTATTAATATTACTATTGTTATTGTTGTTATTGTTATTATTATTATTATTATGATTATTATGCTTATTATTATTATTATTATTATTATTATTATTATTATTATATTATTATTATTATTATTATTATTATTATTATTATTATATTATTATTATTATTATTATTATTATTATTATTATTATTGTTATTATTATTATTATTATTATTATTATTATTATTATTACTATTACATTATTATTATTATTATTATTATTACTATTATTATTATTAATGTTCCGGCCGTTGTTGTTGTTAAACTTGTTATGTTTGAAAATCCTGCTTTCTGTTAAGTTATTTCGTTTCGGTGTGCTCTTTATTACATTGCCTTAGTTAGTTTTCCTTTTCCTTTAGTTTGTAAAGCATAAGCCTTCATTGATGATCATTAAATTTAGACCGCCTCAAAGCCTTCTTTTTGTTGTTTGAAGAAGTATTGTTTTACGATTGTTAGAATACCAACTAGTTTTAAGTGGAGGAAGCAATTTAGTCGCTGTTGAGTGTTCCCTAGTAGCTTCCTGAAGCATTAACTTCCTCTCAGTTCTTTAGCTATTTGTACTTCTTGTTGGGTGTTGCTTTCCATGAGCGATTTGCTGTACTATCGTCTTTGTACTACTCCGCAGTAACTCGTTTTGTTGCTTTCAAAGTGGATCCCTCTGTTTTTCATCCAGTCTTTTACTGGCTGGGGGAGGTTGGGGTGGTCAGGTTTTTTTTCTTTAATCGGTGCCAAGTGAGTGCTGCAGCTTCGGTGTCACGTAGAACTGCAGAGGTGTTCTTTGTGATCTCATTATTGTTTTTTTCCCAAAAGCGTGGTGGGGTTATGTTTAGTTGAATTCAACTGACGAATTCCTGAAGCAAGTATAAGAACGGCTTGCAGTAGACAAATACAAGGATATTTCATTACTACGTGTGTAACGAATAAATCAGTACTTCTAATTTTCTTTATCTACAGCGCTAGCTTTTAGTACTACTTTAAGGGTTCGCTTTCTTCGCCGTTGCATCTAGGAACCAAATCAAAAA